ATGTCTGCGTAATTTGCACTGTACTTGTGTAAGTAATTGGCAAGGCCAAGCCACTTACATAAGTCCTTTTGGTTCGTTGGAACCGGGCGATCAACTATGACTTTTACATTAGCGGAATCCGCTCGAAGGTCTTGATTACCAATAAAGCATTATAAAAAGGGAATCTCTTCGGCATCAAAGATGCACTTAGACGCGTTGGCGTACAGCTTATTCGTGCGCATGCACTCGATCACCGCTAGTAAATGGTCAATTTGATTGTCCACATCCGACCGACCGTTCATAGCACGACTATGGACAAAGATGTCATCAAAGTACGTCTTTGCATAACCTCGGTGATGTCTGAACAGTTGCGTCACAAGGCGATTGAATATAGCTGGAACATTTGAAAATTTCTGTGGCATAACAAGCCACTCCTAGAGCATACCGCTCGGAGTACTGACCGCTGTCAGCGTAATATTGCTTCCCGCATGATCAACTCGTAAAAAATACTGACTAAGTTAGCCGCACTGTACATGGTGCATCCCACCATATTGTTCTATAGAACATCTTTCCTCGGGATTGGTGTCTGAGCCGAGATGGTGGCCGCATTAAACTTATGGTGAGCATGAACAATACGCCAATTTCCGTTGGGCTTTCTGACACAAAATTTCGGTGCGGAATGAGTGGATTTGCTCTCACGTACCATTCCGGCTGCGTGCTTTGCACGAAAGAACTCATCAATGAAGTCACACTGTTCCTTTGGTAAAGCCCACTGCCGTGTTACGCACTATTTATCTCCAGGAACTAAGTCAATTTTATGACGAACACCTCTATCAGGAGGTAAGGCAGACGGTGTGTCGTGACACACCACGCTATAAATTGTTTTTATCGAAGGATAAAAAGATCCAGAGGATCCATAAGGATCTCAGATCCACTACGCGCACTAAGTTCCACCCTTGTGTCCTTAAGGACAGACTCGTCCAATAACGATGATGAGTTTAACTCAACTTAGGGTCAAATGGCCACTAAATCGTATAACTCTCCTGCTTGCGAGGCTTGGCTGGATTCGCCATCAGATATTTCATCTAGTTTAAAAAGAGCATCGAAGGACAGAAGAGTCTCTAGACTAACGTTGACATCAACATGGCCAGTCACATCATTGACAAGTGTACATAGTGTATTATTACTATTATCACTTCGTGACTTCTTAGACGTTGGGCGCTTAAATTTTGCCACCCTACGCTGGGATTGTTTCCCTAAAGAAACCTTACGCCTCCTAGAGGCCGGGACAGTAGGGTCCCCGTGGTTGCTATTTATCTTAGCACGCTCTATACGAGAGATCATGTCTTGAGCGACATCAAGTGGGGAGTTACGTAACTCGAATTCTTCACCCAGTGAATTTACACGCACCACATCACGCGTGCATTATGTGGTCCTTGCCCTGAATGCTTTGGCTTCTAGCCAACAATGTCATTACCGACATCCAGTGAGGTGCCATCTCGGCCGCCCTCACTCGGTGAAATTTCACGTGCCACCCCACTCATATCAGAGGAATTACGTTCTTGATGTCTCGGCCCTAGGCCAACCATGTCTGCAGCATGCAGTGACTTAGTATCACAACGAGTATCACTCAACGGAGTATAACTCTCTTCATATACGGTAAAAGAGCTCCGCTCAATATTGATGTCATTGACATTGGAGTTAATTGACTCGGACATACCAATGTCCAGCACGTTAAAATCCTCTGTCAATGGCTCGCGCCAATAGCGCTTTTGTTACCTAGCGAAGTTAGATTCATGACTCTCCAAATCTTCGCTAGAAACATTGCGCGTGGCGCCTAAGGTCTTAGACCTCCAATCAATCCATGGCTCATGGCGTTCAAGCCAAGCCATAACTAAGATGTGATCATATCTCGAATCCAAATCGAGTACAAGACAGCGTTCAATGCTATCAAAGTCCAAAAACTTCACACCTAAGTTCAACGGAACTTTAGGCACCGTGACGCGACTACCAGTCGCTAAACAAACGGTGATCGAACCACCTTCATGCGCTTTCAGCGCTTCAGCATATCGCTGACTCTCCTCAAGGGAACGACGTCGAGCATAATTGTATGATGCCTCGGAGTCGATTAGGATCGACCAATACTTCTCAAAGCCTTTGACTTTCGCTTCGGCGACTAATAAGCCAGGATTGTATCCACGCTCAGTGCTGGCGGGCTAAGAGCTGAGTGGGGCTGAGCCCTGTTTCTCTCTACCTCGTAGAGAAGTGACAGAACTCAGTTCTACCCCAGTAGGGCACCCCGCGCCTACTGGGTGTCGACGTTTCCCCGTGACATAATAGATGGTTAAGGCCGGGCTTTCGACTCGTGGGAGTCTGGTACTGCTTGCGTAAATGACAAGTGGGACGCAAGTGTTTAGTGCTTCCGCACATGTAACAGAGTCTCACTTACTGTTGTTGCTACGCAACTTGAAGCTCAGCTTCGTCTTCATCTTCAGCATGCCTGAGACCCATCGGTTCAGGCTTACAGTAAGCCAAGGTGCTCGCAGAGGTTGCCCTCGCAAAGCTTGGGTTGTACCCATTCCAACAAATACTGGACGACATAAAGTTGTGCTTAGCATTCTGAGCGATGCTCACCGCCTCTTCAAAAGTAGAGGGATGGACCCGAAGAACCTCGGCTCTGGCAACGCCATTGCGGAGACCTTCCATACAGACAGTCACACACACTGTCTCAGGGAGAGGGTCAGACTGCATAGCAGCCATCAGAGTTCTCAGCTCTTGGACATAGTACGTTAACTCATTCTTAACCTGACGGGTAGACATGCAGCGTGAGCGCACGCGATAAGCCTGGTTGGGCGGCGAGAAAACTCACAAAAGGTCTAACTTGAGCGAATCCCATGTGGGAAAAGCCAAGTCGACAGACGTGTTGCACGTCAGAGCCCACTCTCTAGCTCCCATCGAGCTTAGAGATGGCCAGCGAAACTCGCTGGTGCTCAAGTGAGATAAGGCCAGATCTCATGACCATTTCAATCTCACAAATTCAGAGGGTAGGATTCTCCCCCTCCTTCCCCGAGTATTGTTTGACGTCCACTTAAAGGGGACGAGGCTTAGCCTCTTCATCTGGCATCTCCACGTAGCGTGTTGGCATAGCCGACGCTACTTGGCTTTAAACCTGCCCTAGGAGGGCTGTTTTATACTGCATGAAGGTCTCGACTCGTGCAATTAGCACATCGGAACCTTGTGCAGCTAGAAACTCCACATATTCAGGTCCTACGGCCGTGGTCAGCTTATCAAGCGCGACCTTCTGGGCCTCAGTAAGAGGTGTGGATTGCTCCATCCTCACCGAAGATCAGTCGTTACCGACTCAGGCGTAGATTGACTATGAGCGCTACCAAGTGTTGCGGAGCTACACAGCTCCTTAAGTCAGAGGAAGACTTAACGCTCAACGAGCAACTTTGGTTCTACGAACCCGAATTAAAGAGTCAGCAGCTCCGAGAGCTAAGGGTTGGTTCTACGAACCCGACTCAAAGAGCCAACAAGCTCAAATAGCTTACGGTCCCTGTTCCAGGGGGACCAAACGATTCAAAGAATCGAACGCACTAAGTACACAAGGAGTAGCTGCCTCAACAAGGCGTCGCTACCTCCTCAAACGATCCCAAGACGAATTAAAGAGGCACGTGTCTTTCGGATCGAAATGGGAACTGAACTTTATTTCTTGTTTTAACCTAAAAGAACACCTTAGAATAAAGTAATTAACCTACTCGCTAATGTTCTAAATAAACCTCTCAAAAGATCTCGTAATCAATAGTTGACAGACATCAGTCTTCAAGGATTGATAAAGTGTTCGAATATCACTTTAAAAAGGGATCCCATCCCTTGTGTGCACCACACCTATTGTCCACTATCAGTCGACGTGTAACCCCGTTACAATGTGGCTACTATTGCCACTTAGTGGAGCTGATAGAAGGGCCCTGTTAAGTTGTCCTGTTGTAAGTTACCGATACCTTTGCTTGGGCGTGTCATGAAGCAATTTTTCTGCGACATCGGAGTCCCACATGAAGGACGGCAAGCCCCATTTCGTACCTCTTTGAAATGAAGGAGGGGCAATGATCGACCATGCCCGCTTCGCTAGTCCATCTTGGACTCAACCACTGGACACGAGGAATGCCAAGCGTGCAATATCTTGTGAAAACAATGTTCACAGCCGACTATGGTCGAGACAGAAGCAGACGAAATGTTGCGTAAGCCCTAACGATGCGGGTGAAAGTGGTCGACGTTAGCGAAATGCTGAAGCGCAGTTTAATGGGCGCAAGCGCGCAAGTATCCCACCCTTGTCGCCAACCTGTGAACGACGGAATGTCAGGCAATTTCTCACGATATACTTGTCAAGTCCGGTGCATCGTCATTCATAACATTCGCCATTAATGATGTGGGTGGCTAGCCCGGGTACTTGGCTGAGCCGATCTATAAGTCGGACAAGCAAGAACAAGTCCATTATCATACTGCAAATTTGCCAACGATCTATCCATCCGGACAAGCCGTCACTCTGCTGCAAATGCTTTGACTAGGTCCGTGGCATTGTCCGTGTTTGCAGGATACACATAAACTTCAGATTTCTCAAGAATGAGAGGAGGGGGGGGGGTGCTGATCGTCTCCAGTGTTTGGGACAGCATCCTTCCCTGACGGAAGTCGTCAGCAGTCGTACGCTTGCACGCAATACCCACTTTTTATTTGCTACCTACTTGTTCCATTCCTTTTCAATGTCCACTCCTGACTCGTGATTTCTAGCTCACGCTACCAAACAACTAGCGAATATACACGCAATTAGCTGCTTGCTATAAAACGTGCTGGCAATGTCACCCCCACAAGCTGCGGCTCCATGACCACTGTCAGCAGCACCCTTAGCTTCGCGGCATGTGCATAAAACGATCGAAGGAAGCACCCCGTCTATGATTCGGTCAAAACTTGTGACCACGACTCGATTAGGTTCGCTCGCTGTTTGTAGCCACTTACTTTGTTGTTCGATGGCGCTAAACGCGAAAGGAAGGGAGCTGCTCCGAGAGCTGCAACGGAGCGACTGGCTGCCGCCGTATAATGTGCGTGCAGTGCCTATGTAAGCAGAAACGCGCTGATCATTCGTCGACAATTGATGACGAGCGTCTACGGTTTCGTCGTCACAGGACGATCTCGTGCGGCAGGTGGTGGACGAGTCACGACTGCTGCACGACGAGATTGCCAGGAAGATCATGTGCGCGTTGGATGCTGATCACGATGCAGCCAGCGTAGCGCGTGTAGAAACGACGTTCCAGTGGTTGTTCTGATCTTTCTTGGCGACATCTGTCTGTGCTCAGCGCGTATCAGGACAACCTGGAAACGCAGCCGGCGTCCGTGCACTGCGGACTGATTGTCCATCACCAGTGTTTACTGCGCAACAAGCGCTGTTTGATTGCCTACATGTTCGTACCTGTTCATGCACTTCGTTGATTCGACGCGTGTCGCGGCTGGTGGCTGCAGCCGTTGCAGCGAGAGCTGAGACGTTTCACCAGTTCTGATCTCGTCGCTGTGTCTGCACCATAGACACCACCGCGTGGCGAAGATCCAAGCGCTGCGGTGGGAAACTGGCACGATCATCCCCGGCTCGCTCGCTCCGAAGTGCGTTGTTGGGACTGGTCAAAGTGGCAGATCGAAGCGCAGTGTATGTGATGACTGTGGTGCTGTTTGCCTGTCCAAGTTTATGTCAGCGCGAAGTACAGTTCTTCAACCAGTACGATCAGCTCGTGACGGACTACATGGCCGACTTTGAACTCGACATCTCAGCGGTACGAAGCTGCTGTGGCTTGTAGGGCAGAGCTCTGCAATCGGAGCTCTCATGCTGAAGACCGGTGCTGATGATGGTACCGTGGCTTTGTCGTCGTGGACGTTTGTTCGTGCAGGACCTCCAGCCTCCCAAAGACTTGTACATAGAGGTGCGCGTGTTGCGTGACTGCGGCGAGGTCATGACCGAGAACGGAATGGTGAACTTGGACGCGCACTCGCATCATTTCTTACGACGCGTGGACGTGGAGCAGCTCATCCGCCAGGGTTTGCTCGAGCAGATTAAGCGCTAAGCCATGCGATCGATATGGAGAAGAAGGAAGAGGTGGCAATTGCTGTCATTTGGTTGTCTGCGTCACGCCCTCTCGGTCGTCATGTTGTGCGTACCCATGTGCGCCGCGTCGCTGCTTTCTACCAATCACCGAGCAGCTCATTCGACACTGCCGTTCGTTTGTCGGTCGCCAGCTGAAGCTCCACGTATTCGTCGTCCACCTGCTGACGATGAGCTGGCCACGTGTCGCGGACTGCTTGGGTTTCAGCCAATGACGATGTAGAACGAGTGGCCCATGCGTCCACGCGGGTCAGTTTCCGAATCGACGAGCGTCGCAATGGTCAATGAGGACAACAAGACCGCGTCGAGAGACGGCTGCAGGAGCAGCAACGTGCCTACAAGCGCCGAGCCACCACTTGCTGCTCCTCCTCACAAGAGCTCTGGATGGCGCTCGTTCTGGTCAATGTTGTCAGCCGCTGTGGTGCTCGTTGCAGTGGGTTGCGCCACGTACGTCGACGTGCCTCTAGCCGTCCAGAGCCTGCAGCGTTTCGTCGTCGATCGCGTGTACAATGCTGAGATGATCATGTTCGGGCTTGGACTTGGAAACAGTAGCAACGAAACGCTCCCGGACAAGTACACGACGGACCTCGTGGCGATCCAAGTGCGGCACCTCGTGAGCGACTTGACGTGCAACGACTCGGACTACTCGGCGTCGACGCTTCTTGACGGCCATGTAGTGTCTGTGACGGAGCCAATGGAGGCTGAGCAGCCAATGGCCGACGACAGAGTGTTTTTCATGCTCAACGGCGCCAACGAGGGCGTCTACGTGTCGTGGAACGGTCAGTTCGACTGTATTAGCAAGGCAGCTGAGCTGGCTGCAGCGTGGCTCGGTGCCGACCGAGACGTGATGGCGAATGGAGTGCGTCTTTATAGTCAGATGGGCTGGCCCGTCCGCAACGCGAAGGAGTTGCGTGACGCAAAGAACATTGTCCATGTGCTGCTGGACTTTCAGTTGTGGCAGTGGCCGGGTATCAAGAAGGGGTACGCGTACGTGTTGGAGAATGGTGTGACGCTAACGATGGTGGGGATCAGCCCTAAGGTGTTTGATGTCCAGTATTTCCTCACCCAGGAAGAGGCCGATCGAGCCATTGAAATTGGATCGCCAAAGCTGAACCGGTCGATGGTGGGCGGAGATAATTCGACCCAGGTTGAATCGAATGCTCGCACGAGCCACACAGCATTTTTGCCCGATAGCGTGTTTGCGCGAGACTTCCAAAAGCGCTCAGCTCTTGTTGCACGGCTCCCGAGTCCTTCGTATGTGGAAAAGATGCAATTGGTGCGCTATGGTGCGGGCGAGCTCTACAGACAGCATTTTGACACTTTTCACTCGCGCGAGTTCCTTCCGAAAGTCACGGATACGTACACGGTTGAGGACTACGTAGAGTGGACCGAGTGGGCTGCAGACAAACTTCGTGGCATGAACCCGAACAAGGTGCCTGAGAGGTTTCGAGAGGGTGGACCGCTGTTCCCGAACGCCAACGACACCATGGTCTTTCCTCGTGCTCTCCTTGGGATATTCCGCGACTACATGAACTCGGCGAACCGATTCACAGCTATGTTCGACACCGCCTACGACGACTGGCTTCGTTCAAGTCTGAATAGCAGCGCCGAGATCGTGATGAAGGTTTTGGTGGAGGATACGAACCGTCCGTCATACATCCCGTCCATCATCAGGTCATGGGAGGAGGAGCTGGGCCTTGGCGAGCTGCGGTACACGTTTCCCAAGCACGACACAAACTCTGTGACGCATTTTCTCCAGTGGGTTCGCTGGGCCAGGGAACGCGTGAGTTTCTTGGGGGATAAAGTGCCGGCTGCTGTCCGTCCCGGTGGGGAACTGTATCCCCAGTTCAGGGTAAACTTTCAGGAGATGCTGCTTGGGTTCATCCTTGATGATTACTCTGAAGGATTCGTCACGCGCGTGACGAGCGAGGAATGGTACAACTGGATGGGAATCAACCGCGGACGCAACAATATCCTTATTCAAGTGCTTCAGGCGTTCCCCCAGTTCGCAGAGCTAGCGATCCGCACTTGGGAAGCACGCACCGGTGGTATCCCGGAGCTGCGCTACAAGCTGCCCAATTACGTCCAGCAATTCAATCCGCAGCGCTACGTGACGCTGTTTCTGTACTTGAACAACCAGACAAAGGCCGGCGGTGAGACTGTCTTTCCCTTCTCATTGGATCGGTATTCGGATGAGGAGATCGTGCGCGAGGGCATGAACGAGTGCTCTACAGGTCTCGCCGTGCCTCCCCTCGCTCTGCACGCTTCCCTTTTTTACGTCCAAACTCCCGAGGGCGTGCCCGACTTCATGAGTCGTCACGGTGGTTGTCCGCCTTCTGAAGGTGTGAAATGGGGCGCCAACTTGTTTATGTGGGACTCGGACTCTGCCGATGGCGCCAAATATTGGACCACCTAGTGACGTGCACACGCTGCTATTTACGCACGAAGGTCGTTGGCACTAGAGAGTGGTGGGTTGTAATGCATATTGTCGCAGCAGCTTGAACGACCAGTCTTTCAGCTTTTGTCGTTCCGAGTGCGCCTGTCTTTTGTTGTTGATCCTGTGTGTGTCATACGAAGAGTGTGCATTACTATTGTACTCAATCGCAATGACACGCCCCTGGTCACTAGCACTACAGCTTTGGGACTAGTGTGATGGCAGAGACAAGCGAGATCAATGCCGTCGGTCGTTCATGAAAAAGCATCGCCAAGGTCTCAATGTTCCGACCGGACTGCAAAGAAGGATGGAGTAGACGGAGGACACTGAAGGTTTTGTGGAGCGAGAGATTTGATCCTGCTGCTTCAGCTCGTTACCTACAAAGGGATCAGTGCTTCTGGAGACGCTTCGTTGCCATGCGCTGCAGATGGTGGTAGTGTATCTGATGCGGCTTTCTTGCGTTGCAAGCAAGAGCTAAGGGGATACGTGGGGCTTTGGCAGCCCGTTGAATCGAGGCGGACATGTGATCGAAATGTGAGCAGCTATTCAGTCCGCGATGATCTGCGCTCTTGAATACCGCGACAATCAGCGAGAGAAGCGATGGCGCAGATCGCCTTCTTCATAGCAAGATACGCTTTCGTGCGTCTGAGCTGTTGTTGAGGTCCACATGGAGTGCAACTAACGTAAAAGTCAGCTGCAGAGGATCTGTGGCGCCAAACTGAGTCTGAAGTGACGCAAATGTCTGACTTCTTTCCCAGGCAGCGTGCGAGTTGGCGGTTCATAATTTGAAAGCCACGTTTTCGAAACGATTGACCTAAATGCTCGACTTTTCTTTTTACTTCTTCATACTTTTTTATCGATGCACAAAGTGAAGTGGCGAAAAAAGACGGGTCAGTTTCACTGATGTTGCGCTAAGCGGGCAACATCTCGCAAACGAGCGTGTGGCCAGCGATCGATTTCTGCGGTCGAACGACGTGGTGTTCCTCCTTCCAACCTGCGCTACGGCATACAACCCACAGCAGCAGCAGCAGCAGCAAAACAGCAGCGCACCCCCACCCAGACAGACATTTGCACTTCCCCAGTTGACAGAGACGTCCCTCCCCCGGTCCCATCTCCAGCCCCAACATGTTCGGCCGTATCGCGCTCCGCAAGCCAGCGGCCATCGAATCGTTGAAACAAGTGACGCGTGCTAAGCTGCTACGTGCCGCAGCTTTGCACACCACTGGCGTGGCGCAGAAGGACAAAGACGCGTCGGAAGGTGTGGCGGTCCCCACGCAGGGGCTCCTGGACCAGGCTGGACTCACGGACTGGAAGATCTCGGCCCCAATCATTGGCGCGCTAGCGATTCCCGCCATTTCGAACCACGTACGGAAGCGCTTGGTGCCTGTGGATTCTACTTTATGAAGTACCGCTAGGACGACTGCGACTCGATTAGGGCATGACGTTGTCACGTCTGACACGGCTGTTTACTTCCTATATGTACTGCACTGTGTGGATGTAGTTTTACGTGCTGAACGAGGAGTCGCAGCTCGCGTGCTGCTTTCTGCTCTTCTGCTCGGCCAGCTACAAGTTTGGCGGAGAGATGATCGCCTCGTACTTTGACGACCGTGCTGCTGCAATTCTCGGGTGGGTCCTAGCGAGAATCCGCGCTCGAGCTTTTGTTTCGTTTGACTCATTACGTTTACGTTGGTGTGTGTGTGTGCGCGTGTGGTTGTGTGCTGACTCGTTCGCTTGGGTGTGGGCGGGAACAGCGAACACAATGCTGTCGAGGATGCCAACTTGGACCTAGCCAAGGCGACACTCGAGACGCACATGGCGATGCTCAACATCCACGAAGACATTGCAGCTGTGGCGGCGGCCCACAAGGAGGCTGTCGCGCTACTGTGCGACGTGCAGGCCTATAAGCTTCGCCACAAGACGCGCGAGACGTTTGTGAAGAATTTGGAGTCGATTCGTGAGATTGAAGCAAGCTACCAGATCGAGCTTCAGAAGAGCATGGTGGCGAACGCTACGAGCAAAGTGCGTGCTGTCGTTCAGAAAGGCGACAAGAAGCTGAAGGACGCCGCCTTCAAGCATGCTGTTGACATTCTGGCCAATACTGACGTGGATGACAAGAAGGAGGATGACGTGGCTGCTCTCTTCGCCAAGGAGCTGCGCGCCTACGCCACGGATCTTGAGGCCAAACAGGGCCAGGTGGTCAGTCTCACGGACGCCGAGCAGAGCGAGCTTCAGGCCGATCTGGACGCCTACATGCACCGTTTTGGCCTCGAGGACGCCGACTTCAAGGCTCCGAAGGAGATTAAGCTCGAGCTCATGTAAGCTGCCGTCTCTGGTACGCAGCGTAGTGCAAATGGGCTGGAAGCGTTGCGAGTTAGCGACAGTTATGCTTTGCGCAAGATACGCTAGAACCTAACGTGGAAGGACGCAGCAGGGTAATGTGAACAGAGGGTTCATTGTGCTGAAGAAGAAATGGGCGCCCGTGTTGTTAAGCGATCGTTAGGAACAATACGTCATGGGACACTAGTTTTTGTGGTGTCGCGGGCTTGTTGGTCTCAGGTCTGAAGAATACAGTTTGACGGGTATCGGGCGGTAACTAAAACGTGCTTTTATCGTCGTGACTTTTTTGGATAACATAAGGTTTGTTTTGCAAGCCAGAAAGCATTGTCTGCTACCATGTATTCCAGGGTCTACCTCTCTACGATTGTATTCATTTTATGCAATAACATGGCTTCAGCCGTTTCTAAATTCTTCGTCACGACACAAATAGACGCTTCCACAGGGACGCGAGACAGAGCCAAAGGAGCAGAAGAAGCGAGAGAGCGAGAGAAAGAGGCCGACTGAATTACCGTCACAAGAAATGGGCCGAAGGAAGAAAGCCACGAAGAAGGTCCAGACGCGCAAGAAGCAAGTGGTCTCGACGGTGTTCAAGTGCCCTTTCTGCTCGCACGACGAAGCCGTTGAGTGCAAAATGTACCAAGCGCTTTCCATTGTTTTCGCTTCCAAACGTCTCGATACAGTGTCTTATTTCTAATTGGGTGGCGATGCCTATTCCGTCCTATTTCTATGTGTGAATTTGCGTCAATTTGTGCGAATGTTTGCAGGGACCGCGAGCGAAACATTGGCCACTTGTCCTGTCGCGTATGCACGGAGAGTTTCCAGACACCTATTCACTGTACGGCAAGTGGGGTTAGCTCGCAAGCGACGAAGCATTTACGTGTCGATGTTGTACTAAGCCCACTGCGTGACGACTGCGTGACTCTATTTGCTATTTAGACCTGAGCGCGCCCATTGACGTGTACACGGACTGGATCGACGAGTGTGAAGCGCTGAATGCATAAGTTCACATGCCGTGCTGGAGCTCCATGACTCGCGTCAGATTCAGCGATCGATACCTTGTGCCAGCAGTCACAAGCGTGACAGAGATAGCGCGACTACATGGCGACCACTTGGGTGGATCCAGAGCAAGTGGAAGCGTTGCTTAGCACACACAAAAGCGTGTGCTGCTTAGCTTGAGCGGGTGGGGAGCTAGCTCTTTTCGGCAAGCTCTGTGCAATGGAAACGAGGCGGAGGGAAATAGACAGGGTGGATTGAGGCTGCTTATGATGTGGTTGGCTTGTCTTGTGTCTTTTGCCGTCTCGATCAATGTTGTGTCCAGGTGTGCTACCAAGTGGTGATCCGCAATAGTGCTATCGTGTCGACGAGCTTTTGTTTGTCATCTGCAGCTGCGGTCTCTCCTGCTTCCATCCTCTCTCTCGTTGACCCTCCCGCAACGACGTGCCCCTTCAGCTTCTCAGAGACCACTGTCCAGCGTATGTTGCACGATCGCTCTTACGAGGACCTGCTCGTCGATTGCGTACAGTGTTCAGCCATTGCTAGTCGCTGCCTTTGCATACTCTTTTTCGTTGAAGAACTCACTTGTTGCACTGCGTGCGTTGCGCGTTGAGACACTGTCGATAGCGCACTACCGTCTGTTAAAAACCACTCAGTCCTTCGACATGTTCACATGTACAGAACGAGAATAGACTAAGTGAGTGTGTGTGTGTGCGTATGTCGATGCAGACGTACAGTCTCGAGAAAGCGTGAAAACACTCCAAAAGCCAGCGACAATCACTTGCTGCTGACACGGTCTTGCCTCTCGCCGGCCGAGTAGTAGGGGTCAGGGTGAAGCATATGCGCGAGGTTTGGATGCATTCACTTATTTCGGAGGTACGCAACTTGCTGGCGCGAGGGTTCGATACCATTTCCACAGTTCGCTCGGACGGCTGAGCGCGTCAACCCCTCACTATTCATATTGTTCCTATCTTGAGTCTCTTTGCATGTGCAAGTTGGAGCTTGTCGCAAAGTGATCCAGAGGCTGCTGTCAAGCCGCCGCCATTCTGTAGACATTTAGCGGACGAATATTGGACTCTTTGCCCGCATCGCGACCGATCTCTATAGAGGCATGACAGGTGCTGTACACGTACGTCGACGCTAGCAGAGCATATAAAACAGTATGCGTACACCAATATACACTGTGTGACGTGCGAGAGCAGTCCCGTTGTAACGGGGTGGGTCCGTACATGTCATTGACATCGAACATGAGTCAATGTGAATATTATCTTGGTGATAATATTCTCCAGCCTTTACTAGGCAAATATTAAGAAATAACCCCGTAGAAGGTAATTTTCGGCACTGCTCCACGCATTGGCTGATTTAGGCCATTATATCACCCGACTGAACCACAATCGCTGCTAAACGCGCGCGATGGGTGGTGAGCACCTGCTAGCTATATTCCCCCAGTCCAATGTAGTTTATGTGCAAAAAGCGAGAGATAATTACGGAGACTTCAACAATCGATCATTCTGTTCTATTGTTTCTACTAAGCCTGTTCATTGTGTTGAGCCATATTCCTTTGCATGCATATTGTACACAAGGGTTCAAGCAACCTAGTTACACGATGTGATTAGCGTACGTAGCTTGTACTGTGTCAATACCCGTTTCACTTGGTAGCTTTTTGTGGTCCGTGGAAAGATCATGCTCCACCCGTCCAATATGAATATGATAGAGTAGGACGAGGACAGCTTTCACGCCTCGCGTAAAGGTTACGCCTAGCTGAGCGATATCAAATGAAAGGGGTCGAGCGTGTGATTTCGAGCATCGGCGGACCTACCTTCAACTCCATGCTGTTCAATCTGGAAGGAAACGATCAGCATGAAGCTATCGCCGAGCTCATCCAACACGAACTTGATGCGTCACAGGATCGAGTAACTTTGCTTCGACAGCAAGGTATACATCAGGCAGAGCTGTTTAAAGAATATGGTGTCCGATGGGTAGAACTGATGGTACTGTAGCAAGCACAGGATGCTGCTACCGGGTCGACGTGCGTGCGTCAACCCGAGAGCTTGAAGATGTATTACAGTGCAAGGGAGTCGAAGACGAATCCCTGTTGGGATGGCTTGTCGAACCGACGACGCCATAAGTGCTCGTCGCATCATCTGCGAAGAGCTGAAAGTCACTCTCGCCCAGTCAACGTTTACTAGACGTGCGAAACGTCGGTTCTTAGGGCTCAAGATTCACGACCCGTATGACTTTGGATCGTTAGAGTTCTTCGTGGAATCGGCTCATGCAAACGTTCGAGCCACCAAGTGCTTGGTTCCGGCTCGATCGGGGCTTCCAAACTCAGGCAGGGTAAGTTTGAAGTGCACACGTAGGCACAGTGCATTATCTACCTTGCGAGGTTTATCACGGCCAAACGAGGTTATGAATACACGTTTATTACGGTGTTCATGCAGCTTATTGCGGACGATTTCGGGTTCATTCTTCGCCTGGAGCTGGATACGATAGAACAAGCGATATCCGTGGTAAACCAGGAACATTTTAGCCTGTGTAGGCTCACGTTAACTTATAACCTTATCGTTTTTCAAGACGACAGGAAGTCGGAGGTCTAGAATCAATGGACCTATCGTACTTGGAGAGCAAAATAACTATCGCTCCAGGCACATACGATACTTCAATGCAACCGATGTCAGAAGACAGGGCACTACGCCTGTTATTGTGGTGCCCCTAACCCATGTCACGTACGAAAGATGCGTAAAAACCTTCAGTTGGTCAAGAAGGGCCTGAGACGCGGATCCGACATTGATTTTCGAAGTTGAAACAGCGTAGAAAATAGTAGAAAAACGTCGGGGTCAGTAGGGGCATCGATCCTGTTGTTCAATCAACGCCAATTGAATTTACAGCACTCTTGACGAAGGTTGCTTCCAACTCACAGTCTCTATTGGTTGCTACTACTGTTTGACGAAGGCCATCTAGTCACCTTGAAGATCAAAGCGACAAACTACACATCACTCGTGCACTAGTCGATTGCGGGGAGTCTAATAAATCTATTCGAATCTAGTCTCTTAAGGATAGTGGACTTACATTCGTTCATCCCAAGACCCCTACAACCCCGATGACGGTGCGCTTCGCGACAGGCGCATCCGTAACAACGAAAAACTGGTAGTGGATTTTTACTACACGTAAAATACGAACGGTACGACAACAGATTCATCGTAATAGATTTGGATGACGAATTCCATGTCATTCTCTGACAACCATGGCTGAGAATCTACGAGCCATGTATCAGCTGGCAGCAGCGATCCGTAAAGTTACCTTCCACTAGCTCATCAGAGGTCAATTGATGAACCCTTTGGAGCGTCTACAATCGCGTGAATGTTCTACTAGAGAGTGCGATGACCTCACTTGTATTTCGGTCGCTAGAACTACTACACAACAACTAAGTTTAATTTACCTCTACACTGTGGAGCAAGCCGGTGGTGGCTTGGTTGAAAGATAGACAGCGCCGAGGGTCCACCACTTGGAAAAGTCGAGTGTACGGAGAAAAGGATGCATACCTAGCGTGAAGCGTCCATCTAAACTAACCTGTTGTCCAGGAGCGACGAGAGGGTTACCATATGTCGACTGGGAGTCGTCAGTCGAGATTCTACGGTGGTAAAGCTACCATAACTAGGAGACGTTGAAAGAATAAGCTCCTTTGTACTCATGAAACAACCTACTTACGATATACATACTGATGTAATGAGTACCTAGCAACCTGAGAAAACTAGAACTGCTCAGAAAATAACCAAAACAATCCATGCCTTGGTTAACCACGGATCAAGTGGAGGCACTCTGCTACTTAATCTGATAGCGCCTCTGAAGTCAATTTTAGGGATAACTCGATTTTCCACGCTTGCACCTCAATGTTTTGTGATTAAGTTTTCGAGCGACTTTTTGACGAAAAAAAGGATTGCAATTTGGCTAAGTCCGAGATGGGAGTTGATTGATGGAGATGGTTGCAC